CTGGGACTTTTGACCAACTGGCTGCAAATTAGAGTTCCCATATTTCCCTCAGATTTGAATAATTTGTTAGAGAAGCTCATGGAACTCAGGGAAACACTATACTTAGATTTACTGATTTCTTATAAGGAATATTTTAAAGGATAAGAATAAGAAGCCAGATGAAGAGACACATAGGGTAAAGTCTGGAAGGGTCCCAAGCTCAGAAGCATCCATCTCCATGGAGTTGTGGTTGGCCATCCTCCTGGCAAGTACATGCATTCTTGTCCATTTTCCTGTAAGACTCCATATGTTCAGCTGTCCTGAAACTCTCTGAACACTATTCTTTTAGGTTTTATGAAGAATTCATTGCATAGGCATGACTGAAAATTGGACAACCATATAAAAATGTAATTGGACAAAACAGGTGTGATCTAAGGCCAATAGAGCAATAGAGTAGATGGGGAAACACAGCAAGGTCTCTCTGTTCAGATTCTTTTTATTTAATTATTTTTTTGTAGTTGTAGATGGACAGAATGCCTTTATTTTATTTATTTTTATGTGGTGCTAAGGATCGAACTCAGTGCCTCACACACGCTAGGCAAGCACTCTGCCTTTCAGTTGCAGCCCCAGCCCCTCTGATCAGATTCTTTAGCATTCCTTGAAAATATAGAAAAAGACCCCTTCTGAAATGGAGATCTAGTCATCTGTACCAGACAAGGTAGATCAGAAGTTTCTTTTTGGCTAGTGGCTGCAAGGTAAGGGAATATTGGAGTTTCTATGACTTGCCTGAGTGATGAGAAATTCTAGTACGTATGGTCAGCCTTCCATATAAAAAGGAGCAGTGAAGGGGGTGGGGGGGAGAGAGAGAGAGTGAGAGGGGAGATTTTGTTTTCTGAAGCCTTTTCCTGCAGTGTCCCAATATTATTCCGATAGCTTAGGAAATAACAACTATGAGAGTAATGAACCAGGAATTATGGGTGATGAGAAATTCTACACCGTATTGCACAGATGCTGTGCTAGGCTCTTTTAAGATACCTCTACTTCAGCCATTTTAAAGTAGAAATTATTTTTCAGATAAGGATACTGAGGAACAAATACATTCAATAACTTAACTGAGGCCATGCACATAGTGGGTGGCAGAAGCAAAACCAGGCATTAAACCCCAACTATTTCCATTAAAGTACAAGCTGTTGGTGCCCTGCAGTGCCTATTTGTCACCTTTCCTTTCTTTCAGAATCCTGGTTTTGTTAGGATGTCCCCTCTCCTTTGTGCTGTCACCCCAGTGATTGCAGAGCAAAAGAAGCCTGGGCCCCTGAGGACTCTCAGTACTGCCATGCCATTCCAGTTGGATGATTTTGCTTCCTTTCATTTATTTTTTTCCCCTTTATTTTAGTCTGGAAAATAACTCTTAAGCTAAGTGGTTCTAGAACTGCTGGGGTTCTTGAATCAAAAAGGAAAGATAGTTGGAAGGCAAACTTTCCTTTCCTTCCAAATCATTGCAAGTATTATAGAAACCCAAACCAGATCCCTACAACAGGCATTATGTGGTTATGGTAGGGATGGCTTACACAGTCAATGGAGGACAGCTTGAGCAGAAGAGCCTGTGAGTCTGAAGAACTTCAGCCAGCAGTCTGGTGGCTGAGTTCCAGGAAGCCTGACACATCAAGAGAGCAAGCTTGTGGCTTCTTAAAGACAGAAGCCCAGACAGCTCTGTGCTTCACTACTTGCCCAGGGTCAGTATTTCCCCATAGTCCAAAGCACTTAATCCCCAAGTGGAAATCCAGGGCCTGTGCATTGTCACATCCCACAAGCTAAGAAGATCTCTGCTCTCAGTCTGTGTTAGAAATCCGATTACTATCAGGGAACTCTTCTCCCTGATGCCTTTCTCACTGCTTTGCTGTTGATCTTGTCACCTGGCTTCTGTTCCTTCACACCCCTGCCTCTCACCATTTAGCAGTCTTAAGACAGGCTAGGGAGGAGGGTGTCTGATTGCCCAGCTTTCTCTATTCTGGTCTTGGAATCCTCTAATATATTTTTTTAAAATCTCCTTAGAATTTTCTGTAATCTTCAAAGCTGTGCTCTGACTTAGGCCTTTGGATAGCCTATGATTGGCTGTGCCTCTGGATCCACAAAGGCTTTGATATGACACTCCAGAGGCCTAGAGCTGTGGGAAAAGTGAGTTAGCCCAGCTTTCACAAGGACTGATTGGTCCCACTTTAGTTTCTACAGCAATGTGGCAACAAGTTTTACCCTTGAAATCTTTTGTTTCAAGAGAGTAGTGTTGACTGGTAATTCATGGTAAAGCCAAAACCTTAAACTAATTTGGGAATTGATGGGACTCTGCTAATTCCTTGTATAAATGTGGGATCTACTTTCTGCCCTTCCAGGTCAGGGACTTGTGTGGGACACCTGGAGCCTCCTTTGATCTCTAAATTTTCTAGAACCAAATTTTTTTCTCGCTCTCACTTTAATATCCTAGGAGAGAGAACCAACAGCAAAGGCCATGTCTGGAAGCAATTTGGGTGGGGAAAGGATTGTCTCAAGGCCCACCCAAACCTATTCTCTTTTGCATAATTTGCCCAGAAATCTAACTTCTAGAAAAACAACTGGCTTGCAAAGCATTCCAGACTCAAAATGGATAGATGATCAGAATCTGAAACTACTATTTTTTCTTTAAGGGAATATTTCAAGGGGAATTGTAGCACCAAGAGAGCTGAATGCCTGCCCCTTAGCTCCTAATGAAGACAAAGAGGGAATTAAGGTCACTGTGATTGTGTACATAGCCAGAAGCCACATCAGTCTCCACTACTGTTGCTAGTGTTCTGTTCTTCACCTCCTATGGCTCCTGACTCTCAGTCTGCAGTTGCATCAAGGTCAACTCTCAGTTCCTTGTATGCCACCCCCCCACACACAATGAAACCTATATTGACTAGCCAAAATACAGGAGACCTAGAGCAGCCCCCATAAAACCATATGGGGCTAGCTTGTACTGCAGCCCACATTGTGAATGTACACCATTTGGACTTTCACATGAGAAGTTAATATCCATTTTGTTCAAGCTGTGACTAATTGAAAAGTTATGAGAAGCCAAGAAAGAAGCAGATGAATGGGGCTGGGGTTGTTGCTCAGTGGTAGAGCGCTTGCCTAGCACACATGAGGGTACCATCCTCAGCACCACATAAAAATGAGATAAAGATATTTAGAAAAAAAAAGAAGGAAAGAAGCAGATGAATTAGGTGCAAAGTATAAGAAGCTCAGTGGCATTTCATAGGTGCAAGAAGGTGATAGATAACTTTCTCTTCACATCACACTGGTATGGAGCCTTCTCCTGGTCTTTTAGGCCTGTAGCTTTCCCACAGTTCAGTGTCCTCTACTCCCCCCAAAACTTGACCTTGGGAACATATTTAACATGCCCTGACCTTCAACCCCACAAGACTTTGTGGGTCTACACCCAAACCAACAACTACAGACATCTGACTCTCTATTCAGATCTCAGTAGAAAGAAACAGTTTCTGACCAGTTCATGGATCTGCTGTTTTGGAGTTGAGTGCTGGCTCAGTCAGCTCTGGTGGTAGGGAAATCTGCCAATTGAGGGCCATGGAGGGACCACTTTCTTTGACTGACATGTTTCCCTAAGAGAGAGAAAACAGGCAACTAGAGAGAAGACAGCTTTGGTGGCTTTACAGATTCATGGGCTTCTTGATTTTTCTTTCCCAAAGTAGCCCAAATCCCTTCCTGTGTGAATCTCTCCTTGGAAGGGGATAGTACCATCAGATAGGTTGGATGGGGCTAAATAGGTAAGGCTAGGTGAGGATGATGGAAGTGATGGTGAGGTGCATTGGGGAGAATGAAGATTGATGTCCAAGATCAAAGCTAGGGAAATAAAATTTCACTGTCGAGTCCAAAGGTCAGGGACAGAGTAGAAAATTGGACACAGAGCCAAGGTCAGAAAGCAGCAGAACTGGAAAAATGGAAATAAGCCAAGGAACAAGACCAGGCAGGGCATAATTGTTGCTAAGAATGAGTTGGCATTAGGCCTAGCTTCACTGGTTCTTAATCTAGACTCCCGCACAGAGGGGTCATACCAAGGAAGACAGGACTGAGTTTAAGTAATATCACTAAGGGGGAACAAGAGAAACCAGGGTTTTTCAATTCAGGTCCAATATCCTCTCTGTGTTGTGCTTAAGACTGCAAAATTTGTGCATGTTCCCGAAATTGTTAAAAGGAACAGCACCCTAAAGGAATCATTTTAAGATTTGATGCCAGGCTCAGGGTGCATGCCTATAGAATCCCAATGCCTCAGGAGGCTGAGGCAGAGGATCGCAAGTTCAAAGCCAGGCTCAGCAAATCAGTGAGGCCCTAAGCAACTTAGAGAGAATCTGTCTCCAAACAAAATATTAAAAAGAGCTGAGGATGTGGCTCAGAGATCAAGCACCACTGGGTTCAATCCCCTGTAAGCCCCCACTCCCACCCCCGCCAAATTTCATCCAGACGGGGACGATCTCTGTGGGGTCTCCTCAGTCTCAACCAAAGCCCCAAGTAGTTGAGGGCCTGAGCCATCCCCCAAAGGGACAGAATCCCCCTGCCTTTAGCGCCCCCAGCACTTCTATGAAACACAGCTGCCGTCAGAATCCACTTGGGGAGGCAGAGCACTGGGGAAGTTTAGAAAACCGTGTAGGACGGACACCGGGGAGGAGGGACAGATTGAAGGGGTGTGTGAAATTTGTGCCGGCTCAAATATTAACGTGAGGCTTGCCTGCTTCTTTATAATCTGTCCGTTTCGTTTTACTGGGAAAGCAACATATTCCCGCCCCAGTATTTTGGGGATACGGATGGAGTTCTGGGGAGAGATACAAGGCCTGAACTAGAGCGAACGCTTTGTTCAATCACCTTCCGCGCCGCCAAGTGTCAGGATTTGGACTGAGAACTCCCCGCCCTCGCGACACCAGCGGCCCGCCCATCGGCCCGCCCCTCAGGAGGGGCCGTGGCGCGCAGGTGTGATGTAAGCGCGTGTCGACGTCAGCACGCGCTGAGCCCGGAAGAGGCGCGGGCCAGGAACTGAGCCTACCGCTACTGCTGCAGCGCCAGGGTCCCCATGGCTCTGTGGCGGGGCTCTGCGTGTGCAGGCTTCCTGGCGCTGGCCGTGGGCTGCGTCTTCCTGCTGGAGCCGGAGCTGCCCGGTTCGGCGTTGCGCTCGCTCTGGAGCTCGTTGCGGCTGGGGCCCTCGCCCTTGCCCCCGGGATCTCTTTCCCCCGAGGGCCGGTTGGCGGCCGCCTGGGACGCTCTCATCGTGCAGCCAGCCCGGCGCTGGCGCCGCGTGGCTGTAGGGTGAGTGCCCGCAGGGCCTGGGTCTCTGGGCCTCTCTAGGAAGTGCGGGCGCTCAGTCCTCTGAGGTTCACTTTGGAGGTCGGGAAGCTACCGAGCTGTAAGATAAAGCCCGCGTGGAAACGGGTTTTCAGAAGTCCCCAGGAGGCGCCGGTGTCCGCGTTGCCCTCTTGGCAAAAGGTGTCGGATGTCTGGGTCTAGCCAATTTCGTCACCGCTGCAGGGATTCAGACTGGTTTTTACTCTGCTGGCCCTAGAGCCCTTCTTTTGTCCGGGTAGGACCAACCCTAATAGCCTTTTTGCACATCTCACTCAGCTTGTCACCTTCATGTTCAGGTGTCCATTCATCGTTCCAGCTTCCAGCTTCCTTGCTTTATGGGCGCCTGTTCTTTGGCAGCCAAAAATGTCTTACCAGTTTTGACGGCATTCTTCCTCTTGCTTCGAAAGAAGAATGTTCTCTGCCTTTATCGACTTTCTTTTGCCCTGTTTTCTGTTAATTAACGCTATCCAGTTTGGAGACCACCACTTCACTGAGATTCCCGATTTTCAAATTCAACTTCTTTTAGTCTATATCGTCAGCTTGCTGCAGCCTTCCACTCGTTTAACACGCCCTTCTAGAAACTCTTCTTCCCCAGACTTCAGTGACATTGCATATTTAAGATTCTCCCAAATCACAACGCCTCCTTTTTTGTACTCCTTTCAGGAATATAATTATTTCCCTTATGCTACCTTTAGTCCCTGTCTCAGTTTCACTTGACTTTTGCTATCAACTCAAAGATACCATATAAAAGCAGGCCTTCTGTCAAGTTTATGTGAGTGCTGGAGCCAGAAGGAGTAAGGTAGAGCAAAGTTAAATGAAATAATTTATGTAGAGTGGTGTCAGCTTTTGAAAGTACTCAATTGTTAACTTGTATTTTTTCATATCAGCACATTTACTGGTTCTTAAGATGTGTTTCCTTTTACCTCTTCTGAGTTCAGGCTCTTTTCATCCACAAGTATCAGCCTCTTAACTGTCCTCCTTTCATGCATGTTCTGTCGACAGATACTTATCAACGATTTCAAGTCTGCTGGGTTCTGAGGATATAACAAGGTCCCTTCCTCATTTGTTGAAAACTGATACATTCATTATTGTATTGATCTGCTTGGGCTGCTAGGACAAAATACCGCAGGCTGGATGGCTTAAGCAGCAGAAATTCATTTTCTTGAAGTTGTGGAGCCTTATAGTCTAAAAGGTGCGGGTGTGGTTAGTTTGGGGCAAGTCTTTTCTTTGCAGCTTGCAGTTGGCTAGCTTCTCCCTGAGTCTTCACATGCATGGCCTTTCCTCTGCGTCTGCACTGCTGGTACTCTTTCTTTTATGTGGACATCAGTCTTATTGGATTAGGAACTCTCCTGTGTGACTTCATTTAACCTTAATTACTTCTTTGAAGGCCCTGTGTCCAAATACAGTCACACTGGTTAGGGCTTCAACTTATAAATTTGTGGTGGGGTAGAGGATACCATTGTCCATAACAACTGTGAAAAGTGCTTTGTTGAATTTGAGTGGTAAGAACAAAGTGTGTGCTGGGGGTATGGTTTAGTGTTAGAACTTGCCTACTTTGCTGGGATCTATCCCCAGCACTGCCAGGAAAAAAAATAAATAAATAAAAATAAAAACAAAATAAGGTAAACCTATTGTCCCAAAGAAGGATTACTAATTCTTCCTAGGATAGAGTGTCAGAAAAAGCTCTAAGATGATCTTACATTTACTATTGCTGTATGATAAGTCACCCCAGAACTTAAGTAGCTTAAACAACAACCATTTTATGATCTTTTATTATCTGAGATTTGGTGGGGCTCTACTGGGCAGTTCTTGCTTGGGGTCTTAGGCAGTTATAGTTGGATGGTAGCTGGAACTGGGTTCATCATAAAGATTGATCATGGCTGAAACTTCCAGGGGGTGGTTTATCACCTACATAGGCTTTTCCCTAGCTGTTTAGTTTCTCACAGCAGGAAGATTGGATTAGGAGATGGAATGTGTTGGGAGGACCAGGCAGAATCTTTAAAGTATCTTATGATTTAACCTTCAAAGTCTGTAGGGTCAGTTTTTACCAGAGTTATGGTTCCACCTGGTTTTAAGGGAGGGGTGTCACCTAAATCATACCTTAATGGGAGGAATATCAATGTTGAGTTTTAAAACGAACATGTGGGTTGGGACATCTTGTAGGGACCATTATGAGAAATATATTCTACTACAGTAACTTGTGTAACAGCCTAGAAAAGAAATGAGACTTTTAAAATAAATAAGCAAAGGTGGGGAAACAAGTCCACCTAGGAAAGAGAACCAAATGTGAGAAAGCAATTTGGCAAGAATCTTTTGGTAAAGAAATAAGATGCTCAGAAGGAAAGGTTGGACCAAATTCCAACATGCCTTTTATGTGAGGGTACGTGATAAGGAGGCCATAAAGATTATTAAACAGGTAAATGACTCTAGTTATTTATTGAAAATAATGGATGGGAATGTGGAAGGTGGATTTTGAGCAGCAGTTCATGTTTTGGGGGTTTTTGTTTGTTTGTTTTGGTATCAGATTGAACCCAGGGGCACTTGGCCACTGAGCCACATCCCCAGCCCTTTTTTGTATTTTAGTTAGAGACAGGATCTCACTGGTTTGCTTAGTGCCTTGCTTTTGCTGAGGCTGGCTTTGAACTTGCAATCCTGTCTCAGCTTCCCAAGCTCTGGGATTATAGGCATGTACCATCGTGCCCAGCCTGCTTCACATTATTTTTATAAGTAACAAGTCCGTTAGGAACATTTCTGGTTACCCAAAGAGATTTTTAGCCTAAAGAGGGGATATGGGAGGGGTGGGTGGGAGTATATACAATACTTGAACCACAATCTCATTTTGGGTATATTTGACTTCTTGGGAGAATACACACCTATTCGTGGTCTCTCTCTCTCTCTCTCTCTCTCTCTCTCTCTCTCTCATGCACATACTCAAAACAATTTAGTGTGATAGCCCTAAGAATGAATGTCTGGAGACCCTGGTTAAGAAGACATTGTAGGGTTTTCGTGAGAGGATTAAAGAGTCTGACCATTGCTTAGGAATGGTGATAAAGAAAGGTAAGATTTGAGGAAGATGTGCATAACGGGCTGGATGTTTTAGAGTAAAGAAAAGCAGCCCCCAAAGACAGGTTTTTAGTTTTGGGTATCTCATAAGAATCTTGTGAGGTGGGCAGATACCAGTATTGTCATTTATTCATACAGATGAGTAAATAGGCTCGGACTCATTGATTACCCAAGACCACACAGCTATCAAGTGCAGAAGGTGCTATTTAAGCCCATTTCATAGTCATGCCACATTGTTGTCATATTAAGAAATTTAGGAAAAAGGTGATTTGTGGGGGAAGTTAAGCTGAATTTCAGAGGAAGGGAAATGCACCTTGTGGGATTTCAAAGGAAGCTGCTCCGTCAGCTGGTAAAAATGAAAGGCTGGAATTTAAGAATGCATGAAGGACCAGGGTTGTAGATTTTAGGATATTAGCTCTTGGGTTGAAGGCTATCACATCTTTGTGAGTCTTCCCCTGCTTCCAAATTGGACCCTGGTACCTATTTAACTTGGGTAAAAGATAAAGCCCTCATCCTAACATTGATTCCCCTATAACTGTCCTTGCCCTGATCTGTCTTGCTCTTCTCCCCGATATGAATTCTCCATTCTAGCTAGATCACATTCTTATTGTGTCCGAACACAAGGTTAATCCTTTCATCTAAAACTGCTTGCATATGCTCCCTACGTGGATTTCAGTATCATATAAATCTGGGTTTGAGTTTAGGCTTGTTCAGTTTGTAGCCTTTGGAATGTTGGTTAACTCCAACTTCACTTTTCTTAGCTGAAAGCAGTAATGGCCACCTGTCTCACAGAACATTGCAAATGGGTATATTCTATCTAAAAATGCCTGTCTAGCCCTTGGTACTTCATAAAGATTGTCTCCTTTCTCTTTGCAGAGGTACCATCCAGAATTCAGCCTAGGCACAATTGCCCAGACCTTTGTGATTTCTCTACAGTTCTGTATCTTATAGGTATTATAATTCTTATAATATCTGAGACACATGTTAAAACTAGAAGGAGCCTTAGAAAACATTTTACAGAGGATGAAACAGGATGGAGGAGACAGGAAACATCATTTTTTGAGGAATTCATAGCCTCAGAGGAAGAACTGTGTCCCCCTCATCCTGCCAGCCAAAAGTCTGTACTAGTCGCCTGGAAGCCAAGGCTTCCAGTGTGCCCTGCCTGGCCCTGCAGCCTCTTGTTTCAGCATTCGGCATCTTTGCCTCAGTTTTGTTGGTTTGTCTTGTTTTGCAAAATGCACTGAACTCTTCATTTTGCATTACTTTTGTAAACTTGACTTTCTCCACTCTTATCTCTAAAAAGTCAAATTCTGGGGCTGAGGACATAGCTCAGTGGTAAGGCACTTGCCCAGCATGCTTATCAAACTGTGTTTAAGATCTCAGTGGAACTAGATAAGAAAGTGATGTGTTTATAGTTTTTGAAGTAATTATATTTCTAAATGTAAAACTTCCTTGTTTTTGAACTTCTGCTGTTCAGATTCAGGACCTAAATCCTTTTGGATACTTTCTTTTTTTAAGATAGGCCAGTTTGGAGGAACTAGTATCCCTGGCTATCCAAACACTTTTTGAAGCTCAGGATTGTACTGAAGTTGGAGAGCCAAGAGATACCTGCAGTCCTATTCATAGGCTCACTTTTAAACATCTAATGTTCATTTAATGGAAGTAAAGGGCACCCTTTGTGGGATGGGAATGAGACCATTTTGCAGGGTGTGTTTGGTTTATTTCATAGGCTATGAAAGACGTGTATTAAAACATCCTTAAGCACCTGCTGCATGCTTGTCCATGTGTTTTATGCACTGAAAGGCATAGTAACCCATTATTATACTCTTCCAGTTAAGTCATCTATATTTTTTATTTTTAAAAGAAAATCTAAGTATTTAAATGCTGTTTGATGGGCAAAAATCTTTTCAAAACATGGATAAAGAATTACTAAAAGGACCCTTAATATGAGGATTCAAGCCATTTTGTGTCAGGAGGAGGAATGTCTCTCTTCCTGCCCTTGTAAATCTTCAAAAGTGGTGTAAATAATGTCTAGCCCACATACAAGCCTTTTAAAGTTACATTGATCTAAAACTTACAAAAGTAATACATAGTTGTAAAAATGAGAAATGTTATCTAATTAAAAGTAAAATTATTCTCCTTTATCGTAATTGCCCAATTTCAGTTTGCTACCATTAATGATTTGGTGTGTTAGTTTACAGACTGAGAGATTTTTGAAGTGGACTAGAAGAGAACATAGCTATGTGTTCCATGCTAAAAATCCAGTTCTTTGGGCCTTCTTCATGAATGAGTTTAACTTTAGGTTTCAAAGCTGCTTGGCATTAACTGAATATCAGCCACGCTTATCTCTAGGAGGTATCTTGGTCTGCTATGAGCTTGCTCTTAGAGTCTAGGAGCTGCTTGTGGCCACCAACCACACTAGCAAAAGGGACATTCCCAATAGGCAGAAGGAAGGATAGACGTAAATGGAAGTGACAGTTGGGGGCCTGGAAGACCTCATCTAGACACCTTAGTTATTTAGCCTTTCTCTTTAAAAGAGGGATGACCTTTAGCAAAGAAACACAGAAAATATATAAGCCAGGATTTTTTCATGCACACATAAAAGATGCCATGCCAGACAACCTTAGTATTTTATAATTTCCATACAATCTACCAGATGATGCACAAGTTTCTTGCCAGTCCTTTAAAGTTCATGGATAGGCTGGGCTTGGTGGTGCACGCTTATAATCCCAGTTACTTTGGAAGCTGAGGCAGGAGGATCCTAAGTCCAAGGGCAGCATGAACAACTTAATAAGACCCTGTCTCAAAATAAAAAGGGCTGGGGATATAGCTCAGTGGTGGATTGCCCCTGGATTCAATAACCAGTACCACACACACACAGAAAAAGATTCATGGGTAAGTCTTGTAAACACCTGTCAAGTGATTAGTTGTTACAAGGCCACAAGTGTGCATCTTTTTAAATGCACTCAGCTCTTCAAATGCAGGCTTTCACCTGGGAGTATTTGGGCATTTAGGTATTGAATCTGTCTGGAGGAAAGTTGTCTGGAACTTAGATTTTTTTTTTTTTTTTGTACCAGGGATTGAACCCAGGAGCACGCAACCACTGAGCCCCATCTCCAGTCCTATTTTGTATTTTATTTAGAGTCAGGGTATCACTTGAGTTGCTCAGAGCCTTACCATTGCTGAGGCTGGCTTTGAACTCGAAATCCTCCTGTCTCAGCCTCTCAAGCTGCTGGGGTTGATTATAGGTGTGTGCCACCATACCTGACTGGTATTTAGCTTTTGACCAAAATATATTTTGCTTACTTTGCACTAAGCAGTGTTCCTAAACTTTGGTTATTTAATCTTCACAGTAGCTCTCTGAGTTAACCATTCATATCATTGTCATTTTTTCAGATGAGAAAACTAAGACAGAAATTAAAGTGACTTGCCCTAGACATAGTGTGAATCCTGTTTGGCTCTGCTAGTATTTCCTTAGAAATGCTACATTTTTATTGTCATGATAGCTTTGTTCTGAAATGCTAAGCACTGTTTTCTCACTTTTTTAACTAGTATAAATTTTTGCCAAACTTTCAAAAAAGATTCTGATCTGATCCCATTACAAATATCCAGATAAAGTAATTTTCCTTCTGCCACATGTTTGCTTTCCAATTAAAGTAGCAGATCCACTTCAGCTGTTCCCTGTTTGAATACAGTTCTCTGAAACCTTTCTCTGCAGCTAAAAGCCAAGGTGCTTTTCCTGTGCTATGGCTGCTGCTTTTCACATGTCTCTCCTCCTTCTTACAGAGTCAATGCATGTGTCGATGTCGTGCTCTCAGGCGTGAAGCTCTTGCAGGCACTTGGCCTGAGTCCTGGGAATGGTAGAGATCATGCAGTTCTGCATTCAAGGAATGATCTGGAAGAAGCCTTCGTCCACTTCATGAGGAAGGGAGCTGCTGCTGAGCGCTTCTTCAGTGACAAGGAAACCTTTCATGATGTTGCCCAAATAGCATCAGAGTTCCCAGGAGCCCAGGTCTGTTAGTTCACCAAGAGTAAATTAAAACAGGGTGGGAAAAGAAGCCTTTTTTCTTTTTTTGAGAGGGAGAGAGAGAGAATTTTTTAATATTTATTTTTTAGTTTTTGGCGGGCACAACATCTTTATTTGTATGTGGTGCTGAGGGTCAAACCCAGCGCCACACGCATGCCAGGTGAGCACACTACCGCTTGAACCACATCCCCAGCCCCGAAAAGAAGCCTTTTAAGCAACTTTTCCTCCTGTTTGCCTCATGACAGTGACCATTGGAAATCCAATTCTGCAGTTTTCCCTTTTTGTAAAACTGTATCTCATGTTTTATTATTAATTCTGTTTCTAGTCAGTTTAACTCGGCCAACATTAGTGATGCATATTTACTATAATTTTGGTTCTTGTTCATCATAAAGTTGCCTTTTTCATGTTATCTATGTTTGAAAGGAGGAACCATTGTCTATTAATTTGTTTTAGTTGTAATGCTTATTTTTGATAACTTGTAGTAATCTTAATGTGTCTGAGTCCTAAGCAGGAGAACAAGGCCAAACCCATAGAAAAGTAGACTAGCTTTTGACTGGGAAAAGGAGAGATGGGGCCATACCTTTGTTCTGCTCATGCAGTGGGGTTTCTATGTGTGTGTGTGTTGCTGGGGATCAAACCCAGGGCCTCATGCATGCTACGCCACTAAGCCACAACCCCATCCCAAAAAGGAGTTTATCAACAGAACATGGATACTATTTTGTGGGGAAGACTGTCCTGTGACCATAGTGGAATGTTTAGTATCCTTTCCAGCTCTTTTCCCAAGGGCTAAAAAGCATGTGTTTCCTTAGTTAGATACTCAGGAAGGGGAGTGAAGCAAAATGATCCCTGATTGAAAATCACTGGTCTATATTGGTGGCTTTCAAATTTGAGTGTGCATCAGAATCACTTGGAGGAGCTATTGAAACAGATTCCTAGCCTACTCCCAGAGTTCTGATTGAGTAGATATGGTATGGGAATGAAGAATTTATCTTTCCAGCAAGTTTCCTGGTTAATGCTATTAGTCTGATGACCTCATTTGAGAACCAGTAGTCTTTGGGTTGGAACAAGTCAGATGGATGGAACTTCAGTGGTCTTCAGGCTCACCTGGTGATCATAAAGCCCTGGAGTCTTAATGGTCCAGGCTGGGGTGGGGGTGAGGATCACATAGAGTAAGAGTACTGGGGCTGGAGACCCAAGTGTGCTCTTTCCATCTCACCCAGTGTGCCTGCTACTGTGTCCTCATGCCTCTTGAGACTGAATTCTGGTTGTTTGAACATTTTCCACCCCAGCTAATTCTCCTCATCTGAGACCTTACTTCAACTGGGCATCCCAGACCAGGCCTGAATTCTAGCCAGGGAAGCTCTTAATGCTGTTTTTAATTGGTACCTTTCACAGGCAAACCTTTGTGATCACTGATGACTTGAGATTTTAAAGATTTTTGTCCTTTGAAGCTGCCCATTTGAACATTAAAAATTGCCAGGGGTGTTAGCCAGCTGAGTTTCTAAAGGAAATAGCAAGTTGTTAAAATTTCTATGGTCATTTTGACAGCTTAGTTTAGTAGTGTCTGGTCTTTTAGAGAATCTTGATAGTTCCAATCTGATAAGTATACTGCTCAGAAATCTCTGTGATCACTTCTGCTTTGACCCTACCATTTGTTTCATAACGAAAAAAAATCTACAGAAACTCATCTTACTTTTTTGATGGTCTATTATTTCTTAACATTTTAAAACCTAAAATGTGTTACTTCTAACACCAATTTGGTGTCATTTGAAAATCCTTTAAACTGTAAGGTAGGTTGCCTGATGAACAACAGTGACAATTATATGAAAAATCTGAGTTGGGCACGGTTATACACATCTATAATTCCAGCAGCTTGGGAGGCTGAGGCAGGAAGATCACAGCCTTAGCAATTTAGTGAGGCCCTGTCTTAAAATAAAAAAAAGGGCTGGGGATATGTCTCAGTGGTTAAGCACCCTAGGATTCAATCCCTGGTACCAAAAAGAAAAATAAAAATCTGGTATCCATTTTGCAGATATCTTAATAATTTCCTTCAATAATTTTTTTAATTAAATAGCTTTGTTTATTTTTATGTGGTGTTGAAGATCAAACCTAGTGCCTCATACATGCAAGGCAGGTGCTCTACCACTGAGCCACAGCCTCAGCCCATCCCCCAAGAACTTTTAGTAAATTCTGCTAGCCATTATTATTAAATAAAATGTGAAATCAGATTTGTTAAAAGGTGAAACTTAAGCGTGCATATCACAAAATTAATCTATGAAGAACTGTTAACATCCCACTTAAATCCAGAGATCAGTCAGCCCAAAGTGTGGGATGAGAGTGATGGCTAGCAGCTGGAGTTATTTAGTCTATGCCTCTGCATGGGCTAAAGTTTGTTAGCCCAGACAGAACTATTGATTAGGTTTCTTGACTTCAGAATTGAACAGCAGCCTTATTGCCTATTCATCAGGTTTCTAAGGTACATGATCCATCCTTAGCAAAGTGGAACACCAGCCTTGAAGGATCTGCTCTCTCAAGCTGAAAGATGTATTAGAGGAAAATATTTTCCTGTGTTAGAGCCATTGCCTTTTAGAATTTACTCCCAGGGAACCATATATTCCCCAAGACATCAATGTGTTTGTTTCTTTCTCAAAATTTAGCAACAGACATTTACTGAGCACTTATGAAAAGATGGTCCCTGCCCTGAAGATGCTCTTCATGTGTCCGGATGATGATAATTAAAGTAGGCAAGGGCTGTAATATGGGTTCATATTAGAGGGGCAGGAAGTGGTCTGTAATCTTGTCTGGGGAAGATAGTTATGGAAGCTGAGATGTCACTGAGGAAGGGGTACAGAAAAGGCATCATAGAAGAGGCAGCAGCTGAGAAGGGGAGGAACCTGCTAAAGGCCAGAGGTCAAGAGGAAGGCTGACTTGGAGAGTTGCAAGCAGATTGTGGAAGGGGCAGGCATGAGATGGAGACAGAAAAGAAAGCATGAGATTAAGTTAAATTTTAGGTGGGGGTGTAGCTCAGTGGTAGCACAAGTTTCCATATCCAGCACCATTAAAAAAAAAAAAAAAAAGTTGAATGATTCAGGAGGAAAGTGATGTATACTCATTTTAACGGTTTACAAGACGTAGCCACACTGTGTTTTTTCTTTATCTGTGCTGATGGCCCAGAAGTTCAGTCAGATTTGATCTATAGTTACAGCAGTCACACTTTAATTTTCAGATTACCATATTTATTTTCTTCACATTTTACTCATTGTCTATTTCTGTGTTTTTATTAACTTGTTTGTGTATTTGTTGTAAAGTCACCTCAAAATATTTGGGGAAAGATGTACTATGATTATTAACATTAAAAATTATTAAGCTTGGGTAACTAGTTGTGCTAAAATTCTGCCTAATCACCTTGAATTATCTTTCAGCACTATGTAGGAGGAAATGCAGCTTTAATTGGACAGAAATTTGCAGCCAATTCAGATTTAAAGGTAGGTCAGATTTCCAGATTAAAATTTGTACCCTTCTGTTGTTTCAGTAATTTTAGGAGCAAGCATGGATATTTGTTCCTTGATTCAATTTAAGGATCACCTGCTTCTACACTAGACTGTGGACCTCTTGTTAGGATGCATACAGTATTAGTAGGAGTGTAATAATAACTAATACTTTCTAAGTGTTTACTACGTGCTTGGCATTGTCTTCAGTGTTTTACATAGATTTGACTAATCCTTGCAACACCCCTTATAAAGCTAGTTGGTACTGTCATCCTTGCTTTCAACATGAGGAAACTTGAGGCACAAAGATATTCACAGAGGGTAAATAATGGAACTAGTATCCAAACCAAGGCAATCTGACCCTGAGAGGCCATCAAGTAATGGTTATGAGCATGTGGGGATTATGGAAGTTATGAGAGAGAATGTACTTGGCTATGTTGATAAGCCTGAATCCAGATTGTCGAAAATTCATGTCACTAGATGAAGGTAGGAAGAAAAGTGTCTTCAAGTTTTGAACCATTTGCTATTAAGTAGAATTAAAAATGATTGCTATTTCAAAATAACATCTGAGTAAGAAGTTTACTGTGCTATGAGTGGAATAGTTTTGAGGAGGGGAAGCCAACTTGGAGATTGTTGCTGTCATACTACAAAACGATAAGGTTTAGATTAGAGCACCCAAAAGAGGAGAGACTTGTTTATCACTGGAATCATGGTATGGCTAGACCATAAGTGGTAACAAGGAAGAGAGTAAATAAATGGACAAGTACAGGGTGATTGTGGCTGCTGACAGAGAAGGAAACAATGAACAGTGCTCTGAACTTGGGGAACCAACATAAAAATATAATTTTTCATTTCAGGGATGAAATGAAAAGCCAGAGAGAAAGTTAGTTAAATATGGCTAGATAATCAGCAGTGTTAGAGAAAAAAATCAATGTGTTTGTTTCTTTCTCAAAATTTAGCAACAGACATTTACTGAGCACTTATGAAAAGAGCCACACTGTACACCAGGAGACAAATATACTTTAGATTGAGAGAGTATATTAAAGTGTTAACATTTCTATTTTAATAAGAATTAAAATTCTGGGCTAGGGTTAGGGCTCAGTGGTAGAGCGCTTGCCTAGCATGTGTGAGGCACTGGGTTCCATTCTCAGCACCACATATAAATAAATAAAGGTCCATCAACAACTAAAAATATATTTTTAAAAAAGGATTGAAGTTCTTATGAAATTTTACAGTGGAAAATATAGATTTTTATAATCATTATCCTTATGATAGTAATAAACTTCTAAACAGAGATGATTAGAAATTCCAGGGTAAACTCTTGGAAACATTATCTGTTAACAGAAAAAGAAAAGTTCGGTCATAAGCTCTTTAGCGAGCCCAGGCCCTTCTCATCAGAATCTTGGGAGTTTTCATGGTTCCCCACAAGGCACCTTCCTGGTCCTGAGAAATAATTCTATCCTTTGGAAAGCTAACACACTGGACTGTTGTGGGCAAGTACAAGATTGACCTTTCAGTATTGACCTCTTCTGAAACCATTATTTGCTCTTGGTCTCTGGAGAAGTTGGACCTGGGGCTGGTCTTAGTGGAAGGCATTCCAAAAAAACAAGACTGGCCTTGGTACGAGAAAAGATCTCTTACTCAGTCCTCACAACAGTATTATAATTTTAAAGATAAGAGGGAGGTCCAGAGAGACTAAGTAACATGTCCAAATTCAGCTAGTTAGGATTCAAATGCCACATTCTGCATGACATTACCACTCTAATTACTATTAGGGTAATAATACAGTCTTCAAAGATAATTACCACTGCTCTCTCAAAGAGATTCAGTTTAACTTGGTGAAATGCTTCCCACCATGGACCTGGTGATCATCTGAGAACCATCAGAGATTGAGAGATAGTTTCCATTGCTGATGATAATAGCTAATGCTTATATAAATTCTCAGTATATTCTGGGTACATAGATATGAACTAATTTAATCCTCTCAATACCCTATAAAGAAAGCCCATTTATTATACTCCACTTGAGAGGGAAAATGAAGCATGGCCTTGAGAAGTTAAAACTGCTCAAGGTCATGTACCTAGTAATGGGTAGAGTGGAAATTCAAACCCAAGTAATCTAGTTGCAGAGTCCATACTCTGAATAGCCATGCTATAGTGTATCTCAGAAATAGACCCTGGCAAATATAGTAAAGGCAAATTTAGAAGAATGGCCAGATGCAGGAGTGAGGCAGTGCCTTTAAAAATATATTTGTGAGAGCTAGGGCTGTAGCTCAGTGGTAGAGCACTTGTCTAGCATGTGCATGGCTCCGAATTTGATCTGAGTAGATGTTGGATTTTTGTCAAATGCTGCTTTAGCATCTAGTAAAATGATTGTATGATTTTTGGTTTTTGGTTGTTTGCTATGTGGTAATCACATTGGTTTTCCAATGTTAAACCAACCTGGCATCTCTGGGATGAACCTTACTTGTTTCTGATGTATTAATTATCCTTTTTGTGTTTTGTTGAATTCAGTTTACTAAAATTTTATTTAACATTTTAACAGTTTTTTTTTATTTTTTAGTTATTGATGGACACAATATCTTTATTTGTTTACTTATTTTTATGTAGTGCTGAGGATCAAAACCAGTGCCTCACATGCGTGAAGCAAGCACTCTGCCACTGAGCCACAACTCCAGCCCATATCTGTTTTCTTGAGGGATGCTGTCTGTATTTTTCTTATGTCTGTCTGGTTTTACTGTTGAGGTAATATTAGGCTTAAAGAATGAGTTGACAAGTATTTTCTTCCTCTTCAGTTTTTAAAAAGGTTTGTATAGAATTGGTATTAGGCCTTCTCTAAATGTTTGTAGGTTTTTCTAGGCCTATAGTCTTCAATGTGGGAAGGCTTTTGATAACAACTCTAATTTCTTTGTTTTTTTGTTTTTTTGGTTTTTTTTAGCAGGTTACCGGGATTGAACTCGGGGGCACTTGACCACTGAGCCATATCCCCAGCCCTATGTTGTATTTTATTTAGAGACAGTCTCACTGAGTTGCTTAGCACCTCAATTTTGCTGAGGCTGACTTTGAACTTGTGATTCTCCTGCCTCAACCTCCTGAGCCACTGAGATTACAGGCGTGCACCACCATGCCCAGCTGATTTCTTTGATATAGAGAAATTCAGATTTTCTGTTTCTTGAGCAACCTTTGGTAGTTTGAGCCTTTCAAGGAATTATTCATTTTGTCCGTGTTGTTGAATTTATTGGCATAGTTAATCATAATATTCCCTTATCCCTTGACGATCTGTAGAGTCTATAATGATGCTCTTTCTAATATTGTTCATTTATGTCTTCATATTTTCCTAAGTGATTTGGCTAAAAGTTTATTGATTTTTATTGTTCTTTTTCAATGAATAATGAACTTTTGGATTTTTATGCATTCTTTTCTGTTTCATTGGGTTTTGTTTACTTTGAGTTTAACTAGCTTCTTTTTCTAGTTTCTTAAGGTAAGAAGCTAAGGTCATTGATTTGAGACCTTTCTTGTTTTCTGATACAGGCCATTTAGTACTATAAATTTCCTCTTTAGTACTGCTTTAAATGTGTCCCACAGATTTTATATGTTGTTTTTGTTTTCATTTCAAGATATTTTCAGTAATCCTTTGATTTCTTAAGATGTACTATTCTTGGACTAGCGGTGTAGTTTTCTAAATTATAAAGATTTTCCTGATATTGTTACTGATTTCTATTTTAATTCTGATCTAGTCTGAAAATGTTTTCCATGACCTTTTAAATTTATTGAAACTTTTTAATGGCCCAGAATATGATCTCTCTTGGTGAAATTACATGTGTCTTTGAAAGTTTTTCAAGCGTATGTAGGGGTCTTTCTATTGTTGAGTAGAGGGTTCTGTAAATGTAACAACTAGGTCAAGTTGGTTATTGGTGATGTTCAAGCCTTGTGTGTCTTGTGTATATCATTACTGATTTTTCTGTCTATTTGATCTATCAGTTATTCAGAGAGGGGTATTGACGTATCCAACTACAATAGCAGATACGTATTTCTATTGGAAGTTTTATAATTTTTTTGGTTCATGTATTTCAGAGCTCTTTTATTCAGTGCATAAATGTTTAAGATTGTTAACATTCTTTTCATGAATTCATCCCTTTTCCTTACCAGGGATAAAGAAAATGATTTCATAATCTTTGTTCTGAATTCTATTTGATAAAATAGCCATCACAGCTTTTTTTTGGATTAATATTAGCATATCTTTTTCATCCATGGGCTTTTAACCTATTTGTGTTTTTAAAGTGTACTCCTTGTGGATAAGCATATAGTTACGGCTTGCTTTTTAATCCACTTTGGCAATCTCTGCCATTTAATTGGGATGCTTAAACTGTTTACATTTTTGTTTGGTGTTGGGAATTGAACCTAGGGCCTTATGCATGCTGGGCAAGCATTCCACCAGTGACCTATATCCCCAGCCCTAGACCATTTACATTTAGTGTGACATTATTCTTTATTTCTGTTTGTTCCGTTCTTTTATCTTCTCTCTTTCCTCTTTCTCCATAGTCTTTTTGAATTATTTTCTATATTTAATTTTATCTCTTCTGGACTTATTAGCTGTACATCTTATTTTAGTGGCTGCATTAGGGTTTATGGTGTACATCTATAGCTTATCACAGTATACTTTCAAGTGATATTACTGCTCCATTACACTATAAGAACTTCAGAATATCATACTTCCATTTCTCTACTCCAGTCTATGTACTATTCTCACAATGTATTTTACTTCTACTTATGTTACAAACTTCACTCTACATTATTAGTATTCTTTAAACAGATCTTTTAAAAAATAATAAGGAAATAATCTTATGTGCTTATCTAGAGTTAGCATTTCTGGTGCTCTTCATTCCTTTAGTTAGATCCACGTTTCCATCTGGTATCATTTGTGTTCTGCCTGCAGAACTTCCTTTAACATTTCTTGTGGTGCAGGTCTGCCAGTAATGAATTCTTTCGGCTTTTATATATCCAGGAACTCTTTTATGGTATCATGCTGAGGAATTAGTGGAGTTTACTTGGATTATTTGGCTTTTTTCATTTCTTAGGGATCATTGTGCTTTGCCTAATGTCCAAGCATTTTGAAAACTATTGTTTCTTATGTTTTGTCTGATTTTTAGTGTTCTAGGTAAGGGGGGTAAATCTAGCCAAGAATCAGAAAGAAAATAGTGGCAGAGGCAAGAATTGTCAGATTTGGCATGTAATGTGCCCATGTCGAGGCAGAAAGGCAGGGGAGGTGTATTTTCACCAGAAGCTGGGATTTCTAATGACATACATGAAAATACCTCTGCACAAAGCAGTATACAAACAGGCAGCTACTTAGCAAGTTAAAATGCCTTTTGAAATTTCAGGATGGGGCATAATTTGAAACAATGTAGATGGTTCCTGGGGATTTTAATTTGCCCCCTCCACCCTCAGAATTCAATGGTTTTGAGCCTGTTATCCTGACCTTGAGGGCATGGCAGAAACGGCAACTTATTGGAACTGAGAGGTGGCAGCAGATGTGAAGTGGTTTCTAGAAGGAATAGCCAGGGGGAGGCCTATCTTGGAGTTGAAGAAAAAGGTATTGAGAAGTTGCAGAGTACCTCCTCCTAAACTTTCTAAATTGAGTTGCTCATTAATTCTCATATTTGAAAGGTTAAATATGGTAGAGTGCTTTTTTTGGGGGAGGGGGATGCTAAGGATTGAACCTAGGGCACTCTACCAGTGAGCTACGTGCCTAGTCCTTTTTTATTTTTAGACAGGGTCTTACTAAATTGCTAAGCTGGCCTCCAACTTATGATCCTCCTGCCTCGGCCTCCCAAGTAACTGGGATTACAGGCATGCACCACTGTGCCCAGTTTCAGAAGTTCTTTTTCCGTACTGTGTAAAATTCAAATGATTGTTTTCATCTAGTAGTCTTTTCCCACCTTCCTTCCTTTCTTCTTCTTCTTTTTTAATTGTGATGCTGGGAATTAAACCCAGGACATTATTCATGCTAAAGCACTCTACCAATCAGCTATATCCCCAGCATCTGTCATATTTGAGCAAACAATATCCCATGTCTATTTGCCTACACAGGGTATGAATGTGAATTAAAAAGATAATGTAGGGGAATAGGGTGTATCTTGGTCTGCCTGGGCTGTCATAATAATAAAATTCATAAACTAGGTGTTTTTTTTTAAATTATTTTTGAACAGTTCTGGATACTGGAAAGTCTTAAGATCAAAGTTGCAGCAAAGTTTTGTTTCTGGTAAGGGCTCTAAGATTCCTGGCTTGCAGAGGCTGCCTTGTCACTGTTTTTTGTTTTGTTTTGTTTTTCACATGGCCTTTTCTTGGTTAACACAGATCTCTCTTCCTTTTCTAATAAGGTCACCAATCCTATCTGATTAGGACCTCACTCTTATGATCTCATTTAATCTTAATAACTCCTAAAAGTTCTATCTCCAAGTACCATTCCATTAGTGTTAGAGCTTCAACATCTGAATTCAGGGAGCACTCATTCAGTTCATAACAGGGAGTCTGGGCTGTAATAGTTGCATAGGCACCTGACAACTATGACTTTGGTCATTGGTCATTTTCTTGTTTCTGAGTACATTGTGGCATTAACTTCCAGAGGCTTATCCCCTGTTAAGAGCCTCCTGTGCTACATACCTCCAAACCAAGGACTTTTGGAATTGAATTAGATTCAGTATTTTGTTGAAATGAATAGAATTGGCCTGAATGTACCTAGTGGTTATTGTTCAGATTGTTGGAAAAGAAACAGAACTGGTAGACTAACTTCACATTGCTTATCTCCAGGTTCTTCTTTGTGGTCCAGTTGGTCCAAAGCTACATGAACTTCTTGATGACAATGTATTTGTTCCACCAGAGTCATTGCAGGAAGTAGACGAATTCCACCTCATTTTGGAGTATCAAGCAGGTAAGGGAAGGGTATTAATGGTATAAGCTGTGCATCTTTAGACTTGGCTTTGTGCCAGAAATTCATCTTTGTAAATTAGTAGGATCTTATTTGTGTCCCCATACCAAGTTTCTCAAGTCCATTGATCTGCAGAGCTGTTATCATTTGTTATCTCAGAGACTGATAGAATATTACATCATGAGAAAAATTCTCAAGTCTACAAACCAAATTGGTGTGAACCCAGTGGAAATCAGGCTGTAGGAAAGCAGGCATCTTAAGTAAAAGTGAAAATGTGTTAAACACACATTTGTGAAGCTTCCCTTTATTACTAAGAAAAGAGAAGGGCAGGTAATATTTCCTCAGCTCTGCTGAATCCTGCCCAGGACCCTTCTGGCCTGACTTACCCAAGCTGCTTAGATTAGTTCCAGGCCTCTGGCAAGCTTCCTTTGGAGTAATTTATTTTTTCCCTGAGGTGAGTGGGAGTGTTTTGTATTTAACCTCACATTATTTCTTATTATAAGATATTTCAGGGGACTGGGATTGTGGCTTAGTGGTAGAGCGCTCACCTAGGAGGTGCAAGGCCCTGGGTTCCATCCTTAGCACCACATAAAAATAAATAAATAAAGGTATTGTGTCCAACTACAATTAAAAAATAAATATTTTTTTTAAAAAAAGATATTTCAATGTTTATAAAGCCAAATTACCCCACAAGTAGATTTTTTTGTGTTATAAAGACTAGAGATTTATTTTCTGCAAGAACCTTAAATACCTGGACATATTTTGAGTCTGTGTGTTCTTTGCTGTATCTTTTCCTGTACTCAGAACTCACTCGAGTTCTGATAAACATGTTATGAATTCACATTAAAGATTCAAATATGCAAACAGCTAATTGGCTCCTTAGAGGAGTAGTTAACACTCTTCAGTGAACTGCTACCAAATCACACAATTAAGAGAACCTCACCTACTAGAGTAATGATCTATAATGTAAGATAGGAAAAAATAGTGCTTGTTGACAATTATACCTTTCTCCAAGTATGAAAAAGAACTGTTGTTTACTTCTGGATCCCTTTTGGGTGCTTATTAGAATCAGTTGAAATTTAGCAAGGGCAAGATCTGAAAATCAGGGCAGAATGTTGCAGGAGGTACTTCATACCTAATGATGTCCAAGGAGTTTTTCTCCGTTTTAGTTTTCCCAAATAAGAGTGACAATTTTGCTGGGCGCAGTGGCACACACCTGTAATCCCAGTGACTCAGGAGGCTGAGGCAGGAGGATTGCAAGTTCAAAGCCAACCTCAGCAACAGTGAGGTGCTAAGCAACTCAGTGAGACCCTGTCTCTAAATAAAATACAAAATAGGACTGGGGATGTGGCTCAGTGGCCAAGTGCCCCTGAGCTCAATCCCTGGTTTCCCCCGCCCCCAAACAGAAGTGACATTTTTCACTCTTCAGTGACAATGACTATTGACTGGAAGGTGCTGCTACCACCAGTCCAGATTAGTCTCTCTTCCATTTCTGTTGGTGCCCACAGCATGAACTAGGCACCTTTGTAGTTCCTGGTTTCTATTGATTCCTGTGGTGACTACATAATGGAGAGACTAGGATCTTCAAACTGGACTTTGCTGTTATGTTTGATAGCTCTGCCTCTTGTGAAGAGGTAAGAAGATAGCTTGTCTCAAAACAAGATTGATTCATCTTTTCTTCCCTCTTGCCTGACTTCCTTATTTTTCTTTGTACAAAGTAGTGCACTTCTGTGAAATTTTGTGCTGAGTTACATTTTCATAGGCCCCAGGAGGGAACATAATCTGGTGGTTGCAGCCCTTGGGTCAGCTTTCTTAACTCCATCCCCAGCTTCTCTCTAACCTGGACAAGTAAATTCGGAGAGGATTTGCAAACTTTCTTTTTTTTTTTTCCTTTTTCTGTCCTCCTAGACAGCTCCACAGCAGCTCATTTTCAGGGCTGGGAATCCGGTGAGCCAGAGTGGTCAAAGGGCAGGATGATAAATGGAGAGAAGAGATTGCTTATAGAAATGAATACAAAGTTCTGTGAGAAAAGAAGGGCACTAAGTATTATTACTGACTGTTCCAATCTGTCTGCTTCTTGGGCTACTTCATCAGTCCTGTGTCCTATGGAAACAATAAGCAGCTCTCCATATTTCTCTTTGTCCATACCTGTTTATTTTTGCCTCTGTCATTCCCTGAAGAAATCAGTTTCTTTTGAATGCTGTGTGGCTCTTTTGTCCTAGGCTAGGTTAGGCTGTGTTCCCAGCAGTGTCACTGTTCAAGGGCAGGGTAGTGTCTTGCTATATGGAAAGTATCGGTGTAATGTATTTTTCCCATTGTACAGAGTCTTGTTAATTTGGGAAATCTTGGATTTGGAGTTAATACCTATATTTTTTGCTGCTGTGGTTCATTAGGTCATCAATCTGTTTTCTTAATTCACTTTTTTTTTTTTTTTTTTTTTTGCTAATTCATTCATATGGCTACATACCAGGTTCAATGTGAGGTAGTAGGAAAATGAGGTAGAAGACTACACAGGCCCTACCCTCAGCTCACAGTTTACCTTAGGAGATGGACACTTGAACAATTAGTTCAAATCATGTGCCAAGTCCTATAATACAATAGTGTTGCCTCTGGAGGTTATTGAATCTGCTTAGGTAGGGGCAAGTCTTTCCTGACTCACATTTAGGGAGAAAGTAGCACTTGAATGTGGCCTTGAGCAGTCATTACTCCAAAGCAACTCCTGCCCAAGTGGCGGAACAGCCAGATATTCTCACTCTTTGGATCAAGTGCCCAGAAACCACAAGAGAGCAGCAGAGAGTAGGAGGTACAGTCAGCTAAGTGGAAGGTCCTAGAGCATTGCTGTGAGGTAGAATGTACTTTGGGAATGGCAACCAGTCCTATCTGCAGGAGTATGCCTAGTGTGATGGCATTTGGAAGTCATGCACAGTATAACTGCTTCCAGTGTTTGGGAGCTCAGTAGACAGCAGAGCTTTCCTGGAATTCCAGGGGAGCTAATGACCTTGAGAAAGGTAACCTCTTGAAAAAGGCATAAGAGACTCACACTGTTGCTGTTTTTTTGCTGATTTGGGTTTAGGTTTTTGGTTTGTTTCTTTACCAATTTACCAAGCTGACCTTCGACCATTATTATTGGGACCCCACTCAGCCAGCAGTTAGCCTGCTCAGAGCCAGGGCTCCAGGGAGACACCTGCAAGTGCCTCCACAGCTAGGAGACTGAAAGCCTCTTCCTTTTCTTTCCATTGACTGGGCTTTTCTAGGGGAGGAGTGGGGCCATTTTAAAGCTCCCCATGCCAACCGGTTCATCTTCTCTCACGACCTCTCCAACGGGGCCATGAATATGCTGGAGGTGTTTGTGTCTAGCCTGGAAGAGTTCCAGCCTGACCTGGTGGTCCTCTCTGGATTGCATATGATGGAGGGACAAAGCAAGGAGCTGCAGAGGAAGAGACTCTTGGAGGTAACAGCACTGTTACAGAATCTCACAGACCCCAGCTAGGTTTTTTGTTTTGTTTTGTTTTGTTTTTTCCTTCCAGGTTCCTTTCTCTCTCTGCCTCTGTACTTGTGCTGCCTTGCCTTGGCTCATGCTCTCCCAAGGACATACCTTAGAAGCAGCTAGAGTAGGACAGACAGGTCAGATAATCTTCTTGCCTGAGCCTCTGCATCCTGTGCTAAACTGAGCGTGGCTACAAGCTGCAGGGTTTGTAGTTATGTCCTTTATGTTATCTGTGCCATCTCACTTCATATCACCTGTGCTGCAGTTCCTGTAGATCTGAATGGCAGTTGAAGCCAACCACCTAGTTTAGATCCTAGGAATAGGCTGGCAGCATGAACAATAAGGAGCAGTTCTTTGGCCTCTGATTCTATTAAGCCTGATGGCTCTCTGCAGAATGCAGTTCTCTGTTGGAAAAAGTATCTTTTGTCCAGTTGCTTGTAGCTGTCAGAGGATACAAAGAAGGCAGGTGCCAGGGGCATTCAGACTGCTCAGGACCTCATCTTTTCTTCCCTCTTGCCTGACTTCCTTTTATTTCTAATGGCAGTGTTGTTCTCTTCTCTTTCCAGGTTGTAACTTCCATTTCTGACATCCCAACTGGTGTTCCAGTTCACCTAGAGCTGGCCAGTATGACCAACAGGGAGCTCATGAACAGCATTGTGCATCAGGTAACCAACCACCTATGGGCAACCCATGCGTCCTCCTTTAGCCCTGGCCTCATTGGGCCTTGCAGAGAAGCTCCTTTGTCCAGTGGGTCTGGGTGTTTGGGCTCAGGGACTGTCTCCTTGAGATGTGGGTGTTGTGTCATTCAGAACTAGAAGACCCAAATAAGGATTCAGGACTGTCCTAGGACAAGATTTCTTAGTAAGTTAGAAATATGGCGGTGTGAGCCAGGTGGGGTGATGCATATCTGTAATCCCAACAAATTGAGGCCGAGGCAGGAGGATTGCAAGTTCAAGGCTAGCCTCACCAACCTGGTGAGACCTTGTCTCAATATTTAAAAAAAAAAAAAAAAAAGTAACTCAGTGATAAAGTTCAGTCGAGAGGGAAGGAGATATGGCAATGTAAATTGATGGGCCTGTGAGTCCTATTGCTTCTCTGGAAATGAATGGTTTTTGCAGAACTCAAAACATGAAAAACTGAAAGCCCAACTCAGCTGATTTTACTTAAACACCAAAAAAGGAAACTGGTGAACCTGACCTCCTCACCACCAGACATGTAGGAATTTATCTCCTGCTTCTGGATAGCAGCAGTGGTTAGCATAAATCCGAGTGAGCAAGGCATAAGAATGCAAGCTTTGCCATTCACTAGCTCTGTGAGTTCAGATTACTTAACTCTTCGTTTTATTGTTATTTAACCTGTTAATTGGTAATGTGTTGTTCAAAAACCGAAAAGTATTAAAAGATACACAGTGAAGTCTCATTCTGGTTCTCCCCTTCCTCCATCTGTCTACCCTTTGTAATTTCCTTATTAGCTTTATCTGTATCTCCTGAGTTTTAATGTATGATACAAGAATATATTATTTCTATGTTTTATATAAAAATATAAATTTTTTTGGTCCTATTTTACTCAAAAAAATAACACAACATACTGAACACACTGCTCTGCCCTTTGCTTTATTTCCCACTGGAAAATCTTGGAGATCTTTACTGTGTTGTTACTTGGAGAGCACCTCAGACTTTTCACAGTGATGTGGTGAAAGTGAGTGTGGGGTGCTTCTCAGTTTGTTTGACCTGTACCTTCTTGTGGACATTCTGGTTGGTGATTGTCCTTCCCTTTTACATAGGATGCTGCAGTAAATAATCTTGTACATTGTTTTATTTTGCCTGTGAGCAAGTATATGCATTTGATAAATTCTCAGAAGTGGAATTGCTGGATTGAAGCCTAAGAAAGCATTTAGAGGTTTGAGATTGCCTTCCATGGGAATTACACTTTATGTCCCACTAGCAGTGTTTAGAATATGTGACTCTGTGGTACTTAGCTTTTGCACACACAGCAAATATTCTGTGTTAATATTTTCCTTATATTCTTGCCACTGGAATGGGATTAAAAATTAGCATTTGTTTCAGTCTGACAGTTGAAAAATAGTGTCAGTGTAGGGTTTGTTTTTGTTGTTTGCAGTGCTGGGGATCAAACTTGGGCCTCAGAGCTGGGCTACACTTCTAGCCCTTTTCTAAAAAATTACTTCTTTTTTTAGGAAAAAAAAAAAAAACTTTTAAAATTTTACTTATTTTTGGTACTGGAGATTGAATCCAAAGGTGTTTCATCATGAGCTACATCCCCCAGTCCTTTTCTATTTTATTATTTTCTGAGACAGGGTCTTACTAAATTGCCAAGGCTGGCCTCAAACTTGCAATCCTCCTGCTTCAGCCTCTAGAGTTGCTAGGATTATAGGCATGCCCCACTATACCCAACAAAACAGTCTTTTATTTTTCTGGACTGTTTTTAGGTTCACAGCAAAATTGACAGGGTTCCCATATGCCCTTTGAGCCCCTTACAGGCACAGCATCCCCCACAATCAGCACCCCTCACCATTTGTTATAATCAGTGAACCTACAATGATACATTATCATCACTCAGAGTCCATAATTTACAACTGAGTTTATTCTTGGTGTTTTTCAGTATAGTTTTTACTTGTATTTCTTTTTGAGGAGGAATATTTTTTCACTTTTAAAAAAAGCTTTTCTTTTTTTTTTGTCCCCCCTCTGAAAGTCTCCTTAACCCTTCCTAGCCTTGGTTTGTAAATTGAAGGCAGTGCCTTCTTCCATCCAAGGGTTACAGTAAGAATTGGATGAAGAGAGAGAACTCTTCAGAGCTCAAAACATGCAGAAAATGAAAAGCCATTGGCTTTCATCCTTCTTAGCACAGAACATGCAGGAAATGAAAGCCATTGGCTTTCAACAACAAAGGTATAAGGCCATTATTATTTTATGGGCATGCACACACATACATGTACATACTCAAGGACTCATGTCTCCTGCAGAAACCTTTACCTGTTTCTAACAAAAGAAGTGCTAAGGAAGACAGTGAGGTAGACATAGTGGTTCCCCACAAGACAGAAAATGGGCTCAGTGGCTCCTGTTTCCCTTTCCACATGTTGTTATTCAATGAAGACTATTTTCTTCTCACCTGCTTAAGTAGTTTAGCTCTAACGTGAAACAATATTCTTGCTTCTTGGTGTTATTTCCACAGAGCCATTATGATCTTGACTATACATTGTTCAGGTCTTCTCCATTTTCCTGGCATAATGCCTCTGATACTCAGGACTTGGCCAAGAGCCATATCCTGGCAGTGATAAGAGTGGCTGTTGCATGTACACAGGCAAAAGTTAGGCACCAAGGAAGGAAATACAAAATAGGTACACCTCCACCCTTTCTGAATGGTACATAATAAAAGACTAGGTTTGAAACAGCATTTTGGTAACTTTGCAGTTTTTCCCAAGTGATCCTGAAGGTGGAGGTGGATAGAGATGAAATGGTTGAAATGATGAGTTCAGTCACAGGAAGGCCTGATAAGAAAGATGCCTGCCTGCCTTCTCTGTCATTTAGTCATTGGCTGCGTCCTAAGATTCAGGAGCTCGGTTATACCCACCAGAAAGAGACCTGTCATTGTTTTTGTTAGCAGGTCTTTTCTGCAGTGACTTCTCTTGGGCTGAATGAACAGGAGCTGTTATTTCTCAGCCAGTCAGCATCTGGACCACATGCTTCTCTCTCCTCCTGGAATGGTGTTCCTGATGTGGGCATGGTCAGTGATATCCTCTTCTGGATCTTGAAAGAACATGGGCGGACTAACAGCAGAGCCTCGGACCTTACTAGGATCCATTTCCATACGCTGGTCTACCACATCCTGGCAACTGTGGATGGACACTGGGCCAACCAGCTTGCAGCCGTGGCAGCAGGAGCTCGTGTGGCTGGGATACAGGCCTGTGCCACCAAAACCATAGACACCAGCCGAGTGTCTCTGAGGGCACCCCAAGAGTTCATGACTTCCCATTCAGAAGCAGGCTCCAGAATTACATTAAACCCAAACAAGCCAGTAGTAGAATGGCACAGGGAGGGGATATCCTTTTATTTCACACCAGTGTTGGTATGTAAAGACCCTATTCGAACTGTGGGCCTTGGAGATGCCATTTCAGCCGAAGGACTTTTCTATTCAGAAGTACATCCTCATTTTTAGGAAGATTGTAGCTAATGATAGGAAGAAAGTGGTTTGGAAAACAAGATTCAGGGTGTCAGAACCATTTTTAGATCTAATTGGGAAGATAGCCAAAGAAACAACAGCAGATTAAACTGTACAGATACATTCCAGCCTGTTGGCGATTACATAAAAACATTTCAGGTTTTAATCAAAACTTAGCTATCTACTAACGAGACTGGATTTTTGTTTTTTGTGTTGTGAGTTACAGGGGTTAAAAAAAAAAAAACCTCAATTCTAAAACCCCAATTTATGCAGTGTTGTCAAGTATTTTTTAAGCCAGAGTTAACTCTCAAGAGCATGTCAGCCAGAGAAAGTCTTTCTCTCCTTGCTTACTAGAGGACTGCTTCATTACTCACTCACCACCGTGGGCTCTGGTAAAGCCCGATGTGAGATTCTTGGGTCTCTCAGCTTACCACTTGCAGCAGAATCAAGACTTCCATTCAGTGTTACAGCGACAGTATTTAATGAGCATATCTTCTCAGTCTCCTGTTCTCAAACTTAGGTCAGAGCCACGGGTAAAGACAAGACAGTCCCACCTTGGAGCCTTGGTAAGCCTTTGAGCCATTCATTCTCTTGTTTGGAACCCTTGGTGGCATTGTGAGCTGAAGGACTGTGCCTTTCTGCCTTGGCTCCCTGTATTGTAGACTGGCTGATCAAAGGCTCCTGTGGCTTGGGCATTGCCTCATTGCCCAGCTCTGGATATGCTTCCTGCAACAGAAGACTAATATTTGTTCTTTCTCAGCCTTGAAGGAATTTGCTTTTACAACTGGAATTTGCTTCCATCTCTTATGTATAAAAGATCATGTATGTCTTACGTTTTCATTGACACATTCATTAAAGAGTTTGACCTCGTAAGAGCGCCAGGATCATGAATAAATTTGTCATGTTATATATTTATTTTTTTATAAACCAGGACCTCTGTGTGCTTTTAAAAATATTAAAAACAATTTACATTTCAGGAATCCTGTCTGTAATTGATTTCATTTCCACCTTACTCTGGACTGGTCTTATGGCTTACATGTTACTCTGCTCATGATGTTTGTATTTTGTCAGTCTCTCTCACTGAGCCTGTACTGTAGACCTGTTCTCGGGGGTTTAAAGACAGAAGCTAGAGTATGAAGTAGCCAAGTCAAAGTTGAGTTGGAGCATAGCAGTTGCTAAGCATGGTGAACTTTGGTTTGTTGGAAGGATGTAAGGGACACAGAAGATGGCAGCAGGCCTGCCTAGTACAGGGTCATAAATCTCACCAGGCCATAGCAGCAGCTCTTGAATCTCAAAGGCTACCTCAGGCGTTTCATATATGATCTTCCCTCCCTGCTTTGGGTAAGAAGAAAATGCTTGATTACTCATTTTCAAAGAAAATTTGAACCTAGAGAATTATACAACTTGCAAGTGAAAGTAAGTAGCTCATTAAAGAAATCTTATCCTTTTGTGCCTCTAGGCTCAGTTAAAACAATCACCAACTTTCTGGCCAGTTTTTAAGTGAGAAGACATTTCTCTGTTTCCCAAGAATTAGAATAATTCATCATTTCTAAACCTTTTAAGCCTAAAAAGACTATTAGTAATACTAAAGTGTTCTCCATGATTTTTTTTTCTGTGTAAGCTGTCCTCTCAGACCCTTCCCTGAATGTATATTCTCAAAAAGTTCTCCAATTTTTATTGGTAATGTCAGTAAAAATTAGAAGTGTGGTCGGCCTATACTGTAAAAATGTTTTTTCCCACTCCCTGTAACAGGTGCTAGGAATTGAACCCAGGGCGTCACACATTAGGCATTCTTCTACTGATCTGCACTCCTGTCCCCTAGAGTACTATTTTTCAAGTGATGCGTTTGGAACTATTTGTAGTTACTAAATCAATTTGGTGGTAATCAGCATCAAAACCCATCATACATTAATAAGCTAAGAAGTGTATTTTGTAAAAAATGAGTGTACATCGAATGAGTGTAAGAATATGTATGCATCCCTCTGTAGGTTGTGCCACCTTTTTGTGAAGTAGGCTAAGCTATGCAAGAATGACTGATGTGTCACCTAAGGCAGATAATTCAGAAGTGAGTTAAAGGCATAATAAGATGAACAGGTAGGCTTTAGTCTTTTCAACCCTTTCTTTGAAACTATTTTACAAAGGTTTCCACAAATGGTTTTATGTGAATTTGAAAATACACTGGCCTAAAAGAGAAAATACCCTGGCCTGATGAACTCCTTGCATTCACTTGACTGAATATCCTGGGAAAAGGTGCAGCATACAAAACACCCCTAGGAGTTTAGAATGCAGCCCCAAATCAGTAATCCTTATCAAGCAGATTCTGTCAGGTTTGAGTGGAATGAGGGGTAACTTCATTAGGGGAAACCCAAATCTGTGCAGGGTTTTGAGATGGTGAGTTGTATAATATTGGCTGAGTTACCCTTTGTTAGCCTCACTTTTCTCATATGTAAAATGGAATTAATCATGGTACCTACCCCATGGTGGCTGTTGATTAGTATTTACTGTAGTATGTAGCACATAACTTCTTTAGTTATTACTAAGCAGAACAAGCAATTCCTGGGTCCCTTTAGGTCTGTTTAAACTTATCTGAAAACTATTGTAATAACATTTTATTTCTGGTTTTATTTTATGTAAGAATATGTATACAGTAAAACTATGCAAATTTTTAAAAAATATTTTTAGTTGGACACGATACCTTCATTTATTTATTTATTTTTATGTGGTGCTGAGAATCGAACCCAGCGCCTCGCACATGCTAGGCAGGCACTCTACCGCTGAGCCACACACAAACTATGCAAATTTTAAGTGTGCCATTTGTTAAGTTTTGACAAAGCATACACCTTTCTAACCCATCCTGTCAGAGTATTTTACAAAGGTTTTGAAACTATATTTTACAAAGGTTTGTCGCCCCAGATGGCTTCTCTTTGCCTCTTCCCCACTCTAACTCTGACCCCCGAAGCAACCACTCTTACCATTCTTTTCCATGATAAATTTGCTTTGCTTCTTCTGGAACTTACAAATGGAATTGTTTGGTGTTTGGTCCTTGATATAAAACTTCTCTCTTTCGATATAATATTTTTGAGAATAATCCTTGTTTTGTCTTAGTTCATTTTTTATTACTTAATAATATTATAATCTAAATATAGAAGTTTTCACTTTGAAGCTTTTGTGAATAAAGCTGTTATTACATTTGTGTAGGCATATCGTCATTCTTCTTGGCTAAACATCCATAAACTTGGTGAAGGACTTTTTTCCAAAATGACTGAATCACTTTATAGTCCCACCAATAATGTATGACAGTTGAGGCTTCCTCAGCCTTACCAACATTTTGGCCATTTTGATGGTTATGTTCCTAGAAGAAATTCTGGGAACCTTTTAACTTCAGTTTCAGTTAGGTCCATCATCCATTTTGAGTTACTTTTTTATGTCTGTAGTGGTAGGTTGAGCTTGGCTTTCTTTTCAATTGACAAAAAAGGTATATATTGTTTACAATTATGTTTTGAAATATGAATACATTGTGCTAAATTGGCTAATTTGGTAATTAGCCAAAAAGTTTAGTATTAGCTAAACTTTTTTTGTGGTAAAAACACTTAAAAGCCACTCTTTTAATCCAGGGGTGATTTGGAACTGAGCTACATCTCCAATCCTTTTTGAGACATAGTCTCACTAAATCGCTGAGGCTGGCCTGAACTTGTGATGTTCCTGCCTTAGCCTCCCAAGTCACTGGGATTACAGGTATGCAGTAACACACATGGCAAACCCAATCTTTTAGTACTTTTCAAGAATATAGTGTTAATTATGGTAGCTACCTTATATGATAGTTCTCTTGAACTTGTTCCACTTTTCTAGCTAAAATTTTGTATATTTTGACCAACATCTTCCCACCTCCATCACCCAGATTCATTCTTCTCTATATCGATTTCTAGCTGTTCCAGTATCATTTGTTGAAAAGACTTTTCACATGGCACTGTGTTGGTACCTTTTTCAAAAATCAAATGACAACCAGACGGCCTGTGGCTCAGTGGTAGTAGTGCGCTTGCCTAGAATGTGCAGGGCCCTGGGTTCGATCCTCAGCACCACATAAAAATAAAGGTATTATGTCCAACTAAAACTAAAAAAAAATAAATAAAAAAGACAACCAGGCACAGTGGTACATGCTTGTTATCCCAGCAACCTAGGAGGCTGAGACAGCAGGATCACAAGTTTGAGGCCAGCCAGACCCTGTCTCAAAAAATAAAAAGGGCTGGGGATATAGCTCAGTGCTAGAGCACCCTAGTTAAATCCCTAGTACCCCACCCCCAAAACCAAATGCCTGTAAACATAAAATCTATGAGGATTATGTTGTTTTACTAATCTTATTTGTCTTATGCTAGTACCACATTACTGTCATAGTAAGCCTTGAAGTAAGGTGGTATTAACCCTCCAATTTTATTCTTCTTGTTCTTATTCCTCCTTCCCTTTCTTCCAGGATCTTGCTAAACTGCCATCCTAGGATGCCAGCCTAACTTACAATCCTGTGGCCTCAGCCTCCAGGCTAGCTAACCTCAATTTTATTCTTTTTCAGGATTGCATTGGATGTTCTAGGTCCTGTGTACCTCCCTAAGAGTTTAGAAACAGCTTGTCAATTTCTACCCCCAAACCTGCTGGGATTGACAAGAATCTATAGAACAATTTTGGAAAATTTTTTACCTTAACAATATTTAATCTTCCAGAGAACATGGTATGTCTTTCTATTTTAATCATCTTTTTCACAGCAATGCTTTTGTGGTTTTCAGAGTAGAAAATACATTTTGTTAAATTCATATCTATTTCATGCAAATATATTTGACTCTAAATTGGTTTTTCAAACTTTCATTTTCAAATTGTTTCTTGCTAATATATAAAAATACAATTGATTTTTATACACTGGCCTTGTATCTTAGAACCTTAACAAAATTCACTTATCAAGTGTTATAGTTTTATTTTATTTTAGGATGCCTTCAGATTTCCCCAGGATAAACAACCATGTCATCTATAAGAGCTTTATTTCTTTCTATATATTTTGGACATTATTGCACTGGCTACAACTCTACTAAAAGAAATGAGCTAGGACTACCTGTCCCTAAGCCACATGCTTGTTATCCACAGGTGTGGCTGTATGCTGGACCGGTAGTCAATGACGGGTAAGATCCAATTGCAATGGTACCAACCTAAGACAGGAGGCTGACACCTTGAGGTCAGCTCATCTGATGACGGGTAAGGACCATATGTAGTATTGGACAACCTAAGGCAGGCACGGTCCCTAAGCCACATGCTTGTTGTTTAAACAGAGAGGGGGAGATGTTGAGAGCCAA